TTTTACCAGGCTACAGTAAGGGCTGTGTTGTTGTATGGGTGCGAGACATGGCCTCTGTGGACAGATGATGTGAGGCGTCTTCAGTTTTTGACCCTCCGATGCCTCAGAAGCGTGGCTGGTGTCAACCTGTCAATAATGAGATAATTAGAAAACGGGTGTTTGGTTGTGTGGTAGGTAATTAAATCGGGGAAAACATCCAGCACTACCGCCTACGATGGCTTGGTGATGCCGTGTGCTACGAGTGCTACGATGGCTCATGCTACGCATGCTGAAACACCGTCCATCCAGACGAGTATTGTTCCCGCGTCTCATTCAGAATGGCACAAACCGCGACTTTGCAGAAGGGCGCTAAAGAGATCAAGAGGAGTTTGAATATTGTTGGTATTGTACGCCTTCTAGGGTAGAGTCACCGTGACCCATCCCCTCAAAATCAAGAACGTACTTCCGTACTGTGTAGGCACCTCAGTATGCGTGACATAGGCCAGCACTAGGTCCCCTCCCTCACCCATGATGATGATGATGATGATGATAATGATGTGCAGAAGCAAATGTCCTCAGCGAACGTGGTCAGGAATAAAGTGCCCGCACCTTTGAACAGCATTAGAATAAATATCTCAGCATCACGTATGAGTAAGGCGTCAACTTGATTAAACAAACACCCGACTGGAACCTCATCCGACATACACCTGGCGCAAAACGTCGGACGAACTCTAGCTAGGCCGTCAGGCTGGGGAATGACAACGTGCATGCCATTTAGGTCAGTAGTGTGGCACGTTCTCTGAGGGTTCAAATCCCGTGCAAACAGGATTAAATGAGCACCAGCCAAGAAGAGGCAAAGATCCCACAACGCTCGTCTCACGTGAACTTTCGACCATCGATGATGAGTACTAGAAAATGTTTTCTGTGGTTGGACGCGAGTAGTACATGCACCAACAGCTTTAACCAGATAAGTTATATTATATTATTATTATATTATTTAAGTGTTTCTCACTCGTTTTTGGATACATGGTTACTTTCGAGCTCGAGATGGCTCAGCGGTCACGGGGCGAGGCAGCTGACCGGGAGGCTCGTGTTCCGAACGCAACACTGATTTCGCGATTGCTCCAGCCAGTGAAACGATAGGTGAAGGAATGCCTGATTTATTTATTCGCAAAGCGATTCCTGGCTAGCTTTCCGCAACACAGTCTCTGGGGAAAGTGCATACGAGCGAATGGAATGTAAACCTGAATCGCCCGTCAAAAGAAGTAAAATAGGATATACCCGTATTGAAGTGTGAGAGTGCACCAGGACCGGATGGTTTTGATGGCCCTCTTCAAGGATTGCGCAGAACCATTGGTGACCCATCTGGCAAAACTCATGTGAGATGGCCTAAGTGGTTAGAGCGCGAATTTACTGACCGGAAGGTCCGTGTTTCGAATCCGACCTCCGCCACTCTACTTCCCCTGTCTAGGCTTGGGCAACCTGGCAGTATCTCAGCCCTCGTGCTTCTTTCGGGTGGCATGACAGCTAGGCACCGGAAGGGTGCTACAACCGAAAGCTTTCTTTCTTTCTATGCGTTATGTAGTGAAGTGAAAGTGCCTGCAGAATTTCGCACATCGATAATTATCCCTATCTTTCAGAAGGTTATGTGGATGTGTGAAGCACCTGGTAGCTGTGACATCGAACGTGTTCTCTGGTCTTATCCTTCGTAGTTGATTGAATACAGGGAGAGGCAGATCCGTACAAAACAAGCTAGGTTCAGTCGTCTGACAGATTCTGGAATCGCAACACTGCTTCCAATAATCAACAATGATGGTGTTCCTTGATTTGAAAGCCGCATTTTTCCCTGTGGACTTTCAGGCACCGTGAAGCCTATGGAGCGAAGGCGCCCCTCATAAATTTCTATCTCTTAAGGCTTTATCGGCCCCGGTGATTTAGCCGAGCAGAGCAACTTTTGTGAACCTTTGTCGCCTGTGGTGCGGGCGTGATATCAACTCACCTGTCAAGGGTTTAGTTGGTAATGCTTCGGTGCTCTGAATATTGTTATACGGATCAAAAGCCTGGCTGCTGAGCACTAAGGATGTAAAAGAAATTTCTGTATTGGTCCATTGATGTCTTCAGGAATTGCCCGAGTCGGATAGAAAAAACGAATCAGTAATGCCGGAGTACTATGAATGGTTTTCAAAGGAAATAACCCATGGTAGATGAACTAATTACACTCCATTAGTTGTACTGGCTTGGTCAGGTGCTCCGTGTACCACATGACAGATTTCCTTGAAGAGCTGTTTTCGCACAGCCGCGCGAATGGTTTGAAGCAGCCAGGGGACAAGCAACGACCTAGCAGCGAAATGTGAAAAGCATCGCCAAGAAACTCAACTGAGCTGTTCGTTGTCGTCTCCCAGGATGGGGCCTCAATACGGGACGCACTACTAGTTAGGGACATTGTCAGACAGCCCACTCGCCCCCTTAATGTCGCTTAAGCATCCAAACTGTTGGCTTCGATGTATAGCTTCTCCGGATCTCTCTGCCCCTGGCCAGCCTCCTGAAGTTGAGTGGGTCGGACCAAGGATTCACTCGCTCCAGGAGGGGCCTCACACGCAAACTGACGCTGTTTAATGATTCCTACCTTTGAGTCAGGTGATAGAGGAAGAACCTCTGAAGAAGACTCTGCCTTTTCTCACTGCTTTGTGGGTCGGAATTTTTTGCCAAAGGTTCAAGGTAAGGCAAATCAACCAATGCCCTTTTTTCAGCCTGGTCACTCTGGAAGTACCGGTTGCCCTTACAGTGTTCTTTCATTGACCTGTCCCCACACGTTCCTCTCCCAGGTCTTTCTGATTTATTTAGCTGCCAATCACCTAGCCGTCGCTCTGTTTCTAGGCTTCTGCCAGTGATACAAATCAAACAAAGTCCTTATAAAATGCGAGGAAGCTATCGGGAGTTTCTGATATCAACGCTGTACACTGTGTCAGGTTGGGCGATAGACGGCTCTTTCTCAGGCCTAGTTCTGTCCATCGATTGAAACACGCATACAAGACCCCAGTTCAGTCAGACACTCCGTGCGAACCCGAATGCCTCGCACATTACTTCCAGTGTGCCAGCTGATCTTCACTCAATGATTCATGATATTTACGGTATTGGATTTGTGCTTAGCTCCAGAGTTGAATGCCCCTTACTGGACAGTTGTGTGTGCTATATTAGAATGACTGGTTCAATCAAGATCAATGCATCTGGACGCGGTAAACGACAGACGACAGCTCTTAAGTCGAGAAAGACAGCTATCATGATCTGTCATGATCGCTTCGGTCAGCGGGAAGTGCAGAGATGGTGATTTTTGCAGGTGATCTGAATGGCAGGTCGCCTGGCTAGGTCATAAGGAAGCGCATCTTGTCGACAGATTCGGAGTTGATGCTCGCCGCTCAGATAACTGAGAGCAACTTATTTAATTGTATTCTGAATGTTTGTTTCTATCCAGCTCAGGCTTTCGGCGCAAGCACCCACACCACGTGAATTCGGGACCCCCAACAGGATATCAGATGCGGATTCAGGTGGACTATATAATAATAGTAATAATAATGTTTCAGCTGTAACGTCTAGTGCTTAGCTGCGGTTCCACCCGAGGGTAACAGGAGAGCCAAGGTACCCCCAGGTGCCCAAGCCTTAGTGCTTAGCTGCGGTTCCACCCGAGGGTAACAGGAGAGCCAAGGTACCCCCAGGTTGCCCAAGCCTAGATAGGAGCAATCGAGACGCATAGGTTGGGTAAGGACCTTTGAAGACTATGTGTTTGACCGTCAGTATCCCTTAAGCACTGCGCGTGTTTGGTGGGAGCACCAGGTCAGTAGTACTGAGGTACTCTAGATGGCTCCAGGGGAGCCATCTCCCTTGATAGATCAGCAGGTTACTTTTCACAGATTACTCTGGTTAGACCATGTACTTTTGTATGTCAGGGTACCGTTTGCCTAGCAGAGTTCCGCTCATCCAGCCATGTATTGGATGGTGGCGACCCAGGGGAGTTAGTCCGTTACTTGGCAACGGAGCACCAAACCCTTACTAGTAAACTCAGTCGCGTTCGTAACAGCCATCTCCTCAGATGGGGATTCTGGGACGAGACACACCAATAGTTGGTGACCCCAACAGATATGGGCGCGTCACGCGAGCAATGGTATTCTCGCATCAGAGCTAACGCCTTCATTGTGTAGCCATCACTCCCTGCCATGCTGGACACAGGACTTCTCGTCACCAATGAACTGATTGCGCCGTCGTCTCCAAAGTATGGCTCTCGTTCCCTAATTTTCCTCATCTCCGATGCAGGAACCAATGGGACAGCTGTACTTTTGTACACGGTTTATAGGTGAAGATAAACCAACCCGTTACTATTACGAGATGAATAGATCCGGACCGACTTGCTCTGTGGACCCGCACAGTGGCGTGATTCCAGTCAAGCACCCTACGAGGAAGACTAATCTTCTGTTGGAGCTATTTGCGAGTAACGGATAGCCACATGACCTGAATGAGTCCACGGTCGGAACTCCCCAAGCAACACGATGCGAGTGGTTTTTAATGAAAGTTCGCACTAGCTAGGAGCGTACGACATTCAAGAAACAACTTAGATGGCCGCTTCTGATTATCGAGCATGGGTAATAAATCTACTATATAGCTGCGCTTTTCCAAGCCTATTCGTGTATACTGGTCGGTGGTACTGCCCTGAAGATGACATGATATGCGGTTTCTGCTCTCCGAAGCAGTTGTGGAGGCTCGGTCCGCGTTTGCTAACTTGAGGCACCTATGGCGTCAGAATGGTTTATCCCTGAATCTGAAGGGACGTGTGTATCAAGATACAGTACGGGCTGTTTTGTTGTATGTCTGTGAGACTTGGCCTATTCGAGCAGCGGACCTGAGACGTCTTCAGGTGTTCGACAATCGTTGTCTCATAACCATAGCTCGTGTGGGTTGGTGTCGGCGAATCCGTAACGAGGGAGTTAGAAAGCGTGTTTTCGGTTGTGTAACGGGTACTTCCATTGAAGAATGTGTCCAGCACCAGAAGCTGCGTTGGTTGGGACATGTGTTACGTATGCCGAACCATCGTTTGCCGAAGAGAGTGCTGTTTTCCATGCCCAATTCGGAGTGGCGTAAACAGAGAGGTGGCCAACCCTTGACTTGGCAGAGGAGTATGAAGGAGATCACGAAACGCTTGGGTGCTGTCGGTGCTACTCGCCTTCCAGGATGGGGACCGCGTGATCCTCACTGTGTCTGGTTTGAGACACTACAAGATATGGCTGCCAACCGATGTCAGTGGCGTTCTTGTTGTCAGTTTCTGTCCAGATTGCCTGAGTGAATGTCTGGAGGTGTGGGCACCTCGAAACGATTGTGTTAAGCTAGCACTAGGTCCCTCCCCCATCCACCTTAATTCTTTTCTTTACAATAAGGCTTTCAAATAAGTCATGGTTGTAAGGCAATGAAGCATTGGTGTTGAACACTGATGTCATGCTGTCGTTGATGATGATGATGATGATGATGATGATGATGATGATGATGATGATGATGATGATGATGATGATGATGATGATGATGTGGAGGACATAGGCAAAACGATCTTATCTGCAATTCATTCTGAATATTTTATCTCATTTCAACCGGATAGCAACATGACTGTTTATTGGAATTTAATCCGGCAAACGCTTTCAACCTTGGGACTGAGTGCGGGTTCCACACCGTAGATGGCACGATCCATTGCACTAAGATCACTTGACACCTTAACAGTGAAATGTCTGATATCTGAGTTCGTCCTGATCGACCGAAGCCTGACCAAAGCGGAATTTTGTTAGCCTGTTTCGGAGACAACATACATGTAAGGAATTTGAATGGAATTTTAGGGCGATTTTTTCCTACAACTAAAGTCGGTTTTTCTCAAAGCCGAGAATCACCTGAATCTGTTTCATTTTTTTCGCATAGCTATAGAATCTGCAGGAAACCTCCATGGTAATAGTTGTGAAGTAAATCGTTCGGGTACCAACTGGTGAATCTCTCACCTGAAAAGTCGTCACTCGAAAACCAATCAGTACGTGACGACTTAATGTGAATCCCGTGATTGGAGGACCAGCGGTGCTCTGTTCTGTCCAAATGCAACCACACTGCTAAGCAGCCACTCATAGCTGAACTGCTAGCAGGAGAGCTGCAAGTTTGAGTCTCTACGCATATTCGCGTGATGTGTACTGCGGATGATTCTCAATACGGATGGAACAGCTGTACGATGCGTCTGAGAGTTTTGGAATGGATTGACTTCACAGGATGAAACCTCGATTCAAAACCGGATTTTCTGCATCCAGGTTGAAAAGAGGCATATTAAAGTTGGTAAGGTAGACCAGATACGGGTTTTTCAGAGTTATTTTGCTTTATTTTCCCGGGTGGAAGTTTAGACAACTGCTGTCTACTGAGTAAAACTCAGTGGACCAGGTGAATGGTTTGGAAGGAGTGCGGATGAGTCAATGAACTAACGGCTTCTGAGAATAATAAAAAATCGTTCAGCTGTCGCACCCTTTCAATGCCTAGCTGCCATTCCAACGGAAGGAGCTATGAGGGCTGGAATACTGCCAGGTCGCATAAGCGTAGACAGGTGCAGTCGGAATGCTGAGTTTGGGTCCGAACCACTAACCTTCCGGTCCGTAGGCTGGTGCCCTAATCACTGAGCTATCTGGAGCTGGTGAGAATGATACAGCCCGGTTGCTCACACCGAAGAGGGTTTGGTTGAGTAACGTTGTGATCATTCGGTCCACAACTCCGAGCCACAAAGCAGTGGTAAGATGTGTGGTTTTGTTCGGGGACTCTCAAGTGACGACTGAATTGTTCCTCTCTCGATGTTCCGGCATTCTGTGACTTGAAACCAGCAAAACTACAACGTCGACTCATTTAGACATCATTGTTGTTCAAATACTGATCTAATGCTTGTTTCAAAATCGTGTCCGGGCTGGCGTTTCAACCGAGATATTTAGCTCAAGTACTAGATTGGCACTGTTAGGTCCGATATCGATTGACTGGGTATGCAGCCAAGTCTACGCCACTGGATTGATATTTGCGGGAGCCTTGCCAGAGACCGCCTTGTGTGGGCTATGTAACCACGACTCTGAACGTTCAAAAAATCAATAACCAAGATGGAGTAAGTATACTGAGCGAGAGACCCCGTATTGTCGCTCGCCAGGACCTCGTCTGAGCACTTCAGGTGGGAGTCCTAGTGCCCAGTTATCTGCTCGAATTACTATCTGTAGTCTCTAGACCTTGGCAGTTCTACCCAACCGACAGGGTAGTCAAACGGATTCAGGTCATCCCTCACGCAATCTTGAGTGAAGGTCAGACTTGCAATATTCCTCGCTATTTAGTCGGTCCCTAGTTCTTGTGGGGGTACTGCGATAAGATTAATTGGATCTCTGATGAGTAATATCACGTTCAACAATATGTTAGGGTTGATAAGGTCGAAGTCGGTGCGGTAGTTCATGTAACACGCCGCTGCAGGTTGATGGAACGTGGAGTGATGCAACACTGGATGACCTATTCCTAAACAAAGGCATCATTGATTAGATCAGGTACATGCGTATCTGATAATTAAAATTCGATTGAGGGTAAAGGTTTGGAACTACTTTGGAAGCTGCATTGATAGCGTACTGCTGTCTCTTTCCTCGAAAGTGGAAGTAGAATTGAAGTGCAGTAGTCAGGCATAAATGTTTCTGTTTCACGCGCAGGGTAAACAAGACCTGTAGATAAAATTTATTAACATAGGAGTGTACGCCTTGCAATTCTCACATGGGATGCCATCTATGAAGTGTTTTCTGTCTTTTCTAACGATTACTCGTCTGTCTGGATGGCACCGTCGAATGTGGTTGTAACATTTTAACATCCTGACACTTACAAACCCAACTTGATGGTTAGATGCTTCAGCCGCTGGAGTTGCCAAGATTACTTCACTTACCAGAGACGTGTTAGCATCAAGTGGTCAGCAGATGTGAGATGTATCCATGTTCATGAGGGTTTGCCCGAATTTCTTGTGTTGTTGTCCTGAACACCACTTGGAATTGGTTTGAGAGTTCGTCTATGGTCTTTGAACAGCTCAGTACTGCTTGCAGGCACAAGGGGATGAGTGAACGACACTGTCATTATAGACGTTATTTTTCTATTGGATTGTCATCCACCCAAACCCAGTGGAGATGATCCAGGTTCTCATTGCCGTCCTCAAATGTTTCATTGAATCATGAATCAGTTTTTTTAATAAAGCGCTGGTGGCTTGTAATTTACTATGATTACATTTGTTGTAATTTTGCTTATCCTTTTCAGAAACAGTGTTGTCCCACCACCACTTTATTTCCCAGAAACCATGGAGTGTTTGATGTTATTTTGCACTGCTGGGAACATGTCACTTTGTCAACCCTGCAAGATCCCATTTAGCAAAGAACACCGGAAGAATTGGAATGCGTACATAGATGCAATTGAAGGAAACTGGGAAGATAGATACCAGCCATACGACTATTACAGTGAACTCCGGCACCGTCCTTATTGTTGTCCATTGAAAAAGGGGTCATTTTGCCGACTAAATCTTTTGATGGAACCCAGGAAAGATCCTAAGAAATTGTACGATCTGACGTAAGTTCCATCGATTATTTGGCCGGTCAACTAATCAACTGATGTTCAGGTGTGGGAAGCATGAGTTCATTGAACCAATGTTTTGCAACGACGCCAACGGCCATCGGTGTTGCAACGAAACACACTGTAATATTCCCACACCCGATGAACTTAGTATACTCCTTGAGAAACCTCCTTATAGTATCTACATGATTTTGGTATGTGTGTTGGCTGTGTTCTGCATCATCCTTTGCTGCATTCTGGTGGCGTGCTGTTGCCGATCTCGTCAAAAACTAGGTAAGTGGCGGTTCTCAAAGCACCCTAGTTTTCCTTCCTGTGGATGTTGTCATATTTTTGTGTCGTCTGGTGATTGAGTCTGTCATGTGGCGATAATATTGATCTGATTAGTGATTCATCCAAACGTACAAACTTCTCTAGTGTGTAGATGTAGGGTTTGTCCTTCGTCCTACAGAGGTTCGTCGGTGGACCTCCCCATTTTACGGTGTCCCGGTTTTCAGGGTAATTGTACGGTCTGTTCCCGACCACTAGCTCGGTGATTATCTGAAATACTCTTCATAGCAAGAAATGAACTCGAATTACTCCGAGTTTGATAGGTGTTATACATAGAACTGGAAATGCCCGTACTGGATTCTTAAGTTGTACCGATAGAGGTGTAGATATATTCTGACACGGAGTTAAAATGCTCAGTAACGGTGTACAGTCAGTGGTTCGTAACCCGACGCACCGGTTTCGGGGTGTTACTTGGTAGCCTGACATTTTAATGCTCACAGCGGGTGAATTTGAGGTTCATTTCAAGACAAAGCTTGTTGGTACTATGTGGGACGAAGAGCAAGTGCCTGCAGAATGGGGCATGTCGACAGTTATCCCTATCTTCAAAAAGGGTACACGGACGCTATGCGAAAACCACCGTGGCATCAGCCTGTTAGCTGTGGCAT